TATCCCCATCCCCCATTATTGACTCGTATCTCTCAATGACGTCTACCGCTTCTGCAACAGTGCTACACTCCTTGTCAATACAACGGCATTTCATTTCAACGGGAATAATTTTGTAAAGGTGGTTCAGGGCCAGTGATTCCTGAGCGTCAATGTCCAAGTTACTGTAAGCTTTTTGTGATAATTGCCGTATATCGTCTCCAACATCTGCAATATTTTCTCCAGGCATCCGCCTACGCATTTCCAGTTTTGAAAGCCACCTATTTTTGTGCTTTGAACTACCAAATCTCTGGTCCATACGCTGAACAAGAATTTTAAACGTGCGTCTTTCCTCAAGTGTTAGGCTCATGTAGAAAGTCCTGGCTTGTCCACGTAAGCTAGCGGCTAAGAAAAGAAGTTTAGTCCTGTCGTCCCAGTGGCTAAGTTCAGCGCAGTCTTGAAAGTGAGAAAAGTATTCCTCCCAACTTTCTTTTTCCATCGTAGGGTTCGGGTTTGATCATAAGTGTAGAAATGCGATTGTGATCACTTTGTGCGTCGTCAGCTAACTGATAATCAGATCGCCGACGGAAATTATGTCCTCCTTCGTCGTCATTGTCATCACTGTCATCTCTTTCCAAAGGATTTTCATTTGCCATTAAATATTCGTCATCAGTGTTCCTCCCACAGACATCTGTTTCGTCCCCTTGGCCTAACTGAACATTTTCCTTATGTTCATTTATAAATACTTCAGGATCCGGCGAAGTAGCATCCTCCATTTTTAACTATAAAAACAGTAACAAGAACATATGTACATCGTTATTTTAAAAATAGATTTTTTTTCCTCCACCACACGACAGTCCGCAATCCACTCTATTTCAGTACTTGACAGGTATTAAAGTACGGGTTCGTATCCTAGATGTCCTCGTATATGGTAGGACATCCCACTTCTGACACCAAAAATTGTAAGCTTCCTCAGCACCCTGTCAAATGCCAATCAGCTTACAATGTTTCCATCCCGTGTAAATTCAATAAATTATAAAATTATATTTTTATTAGGACTACTCATGACATCCGTCCACATATAAAAAAAGGGGGGGCATCCTCAGCCCGTCACATGTATTTAAACACCCTTGATAATTTACTTCACATCCTTGTAAATCATAACCAAGTTCCATTTTTCGTTTCAAATATTTCATTTAATAAAGACTTCAAAGTTCAATGAAATATAACAAAACAGTCAGTACATCTATGAGTATATAAAGTCCTAGCTTAACATCTCTGGCCTAATAAAACACAGTGGATTGCGGTGTCCGTGCGGTGGAGAAATTATACACTACTTAATTTGTATTAGTTTACATTATTTTCTTTTACCTAAGTCACTAGTAATTTACAGTCAGTGATGTTGATGACGTAATATGATCCGATCGTTACGATCGTCGTGATGAAACTGGCGTTCGCTGCTCATATATATAACTTTCTATAAATGGTCACGTGATCACAACAACCAATGAATAATTGTCCTTTCTGGAGCCTCTCAGAACTACTTTACATATATATTGTGTAAAACAAGGAAAATAACATCGCTCAAAATGTCCTTTCTACATGTAAAGTGGGAGCTATAAATTCTATTCGATATACATTAGAAAACAAGTTCAACAAACAATCTGTAATAAAACGGACACACACAATCCATGGCGTAGTAATACCGAACAATAATGCAAACACATAAGTATTACGCTACACATTCAAGTTCCAAAACATTTCGTCAAATACAGCATAATTAAATGACAATACTGCAATAAAATAACATTTAAGTATCAATTATGAATATTTGAGGACACGGACAGTGTTATTTCGATCTTATCAATTGTAAAACAACAATGTTTATGTCACATGACTAATTTCTTCGTAAGAAAGATGGCAGGCGCCCAATTTACAACACATGTGATAATGCTGAAATAAGTAAGTAAATTACAGTCGTAATATGGTAGATAATGATGAAAAACTGACATACAACATCTCAGTATCACTGTCCCTTACTGTCTGTTCAACAATATCTCGCTAGATCGTCTAGTAACACAAAAACAGCATTTGTTTACATTAATACAATGTCGAAGTGCAATGTGTATTGCATCAATAATTCAAGTAAACAATAAGATAATGAAATAACATCAACAATAAAACATTTCTTATAGATTTACAACTGGATGCTACTTTACTTCACTTACAAACACTCCACCATCAGCCTGTGATTAATTAATATGCAATATTCTAAAGTCCAACCCCCATGCATATTACAATATCTTTGGAATCCAAAAGAAGTTCTTGTCACATGAAATACAACTGTGAAATATGAAGATGAAAGTACTAACTTTTTAAAGTGATGTACAAGGTTAAAGTGTATAAAAAGTCGGTCAAACTCAAAGGTCAAGGTGAAAAGATTTATCATATTTATGTTCATGGAAAGGTCTTATCACAATGAATAATGATGTGAAGTATGAGAGGCTTAGCACCAACTGTTCAAAAGTTATGACCAAGGTTAAAGTTTGTATAAATTTCTAGAAAGAATAGTACGAACAAAATTCCAAATATGTTGGTACCCAAAGGAAGGCCCTGTTACAAGAAATTCACACATGTAAAATATGAGAACTATTGCTCCAAACAATCAAAAGTTATGAACAATGTTAAGAAGCTTGCTCCTTTTTTGTGAGAACCAGCTACACCACCTCATTCTACAAGCATATTTTCATGTAACATACTAACAAGGTAAAAACTATATACCCCCGAGTCTTCGATTTTGGGGGAATAAATATTAAAGCCATTGGTGGTTAATATCAATACTTTTATAACAAAAACGCGTTCAGTGGTTTCTCAAGATATTCAAGTAATTTATTTCTATTATACTGTATGCATTTTGGTTACAAAAGTTATGAACTTTCAGCCAATCCTGTCAAGCAAACTGCCTTATATGTAATTTTAATTTTAACAATATAGCTATAATGTAAAGATAACAATGTGTTTTAATGGTGGAATTTTTCAGCAACTCTTTTTGTCAATATGCTTTTGGCTTTAACTTCCTTTTCAAATGATTTACGTGTAGATCAAATGGAAAATTTCTTTTGGGAAAAGCTAAAGCCAAATTAAAACCCATTTTCAGTTCTCTGAGGGAATTGGGCACATTCTTCACTTTTATAACTTTTATCCAGTGATTTGTGGCTTTAAGCCTATGGCTTGAAATTCTAAAGTGCCGCTGATAAATGTGTGGATTTTGAAAGCAGTTGGGTCATACTTATATTATTAATGCATGTTCTAGTTCATAAATATCATAATTATTAATTTCTTTACACTAATAGATCTGTTTTCACTTTGATTTTTTTTTTACATTTTGAAGCTTTCACGAAAGATGATTAAAGAAAATTAAATTTTCGTATGAACCCATAACCGAACACATTAAAATTAAATTTTCTTTTAAAAATGGATTGATACACATCACTCTCTCTTTAACATCATTTGATATTAAGAAATAGTTTTTCTTTCAAAAATCAATTAAAGATAATGAAAAAGATGCTTAAGCGCTTTTGAAAATGAATTCATAGAACCTTTGAAAATGGTATTCACAAAGAAAGATATTTGGGGTATCCACGGTATGTAGTTGACAAGGTACTTTTAAGACAGAAAGAGTTAATCATCTTTATTTTGTACATATTGTAAGCTTCCTCAGCACCCTGTCAAATGCCAATCAGCTTACAATGTTTCCATCCCGTGTAAATTCAATAAATTATAAAATTATATTTTTATCAGGACTACTCATGACATCCGTCCACATATAAAAAAAGGGGGGGGCATCCTCAGCCCGTCACATGTATTTAAACACCCTTGATACCAAGTTCCATTTTTCGTTTCAAATATTTCATTTAATAAAGACTTCAAAGTTCAATGAAATATAACAAAACAGTCAGTACATCTATGAGTATATAAAGTCCTAGCTTAACATCTCTGGCCTAATAAAACACAGTGGATTGCGGTGTCCGTGCGGTGGAGAAATTATACACTACTTAATTTGTATTAGTTTACATTATTTTCTTTTACCTAAGTCACTAGTAATTTACAGTCAGTGATGTTGATGATGTAATATGATCTGATCGTTACGATCGTCGTGATGAAACTGGCGTTCGCTGCTCATATATATAACCTTCCATAAATGGTCACGTGATCACAACAACCAATGAATAATTGTCCTTTCTGGAGCAACTCGGAACTACTTTACATACATTTTGTGTAATACAAAGAAAATAACATTGCTCAAAATGTCCTTTCTACATGTAAAGTGGGAGCTATAAATTCTATTCGATATACATTAGAAAACAAGTTCAACAAACAATCTGTAATAAAACGGACACACACAATCCATGGCGTAGTAATACCGAACAATAATGCAAACACATAAGTATTACGCTACACATTCAAGTTCCAAAACATTTCGTCAAATACAGCATAATTAAATGACAATACTGCAATAAAATAACATTTAAGTATCAATTATGAATATTTGAGGACACGGACAGTGTTATTTCGATCTTATCAATTGTAAAACAACAATGTTTATGTCACATGACTAATTTCTTCGTAAGAAAGATGGCAGGCGCCCAATTTACAACACATGTGATAAATGCTGAAATAAGTAAGTAAATTACAGTCGTAATATGGTAGATAATGATGAAAAACTGACATACAACATCTCAGTATCACTGTCCCTTACTGTCTGTTCAACAATATCTCGCTAGATCGTCTAGTAACACAAAAACAGCATTTGTTTACATTACAAAGTCGAAGTGCAATGTGTATTGCATCAATAATTCAGGTAAACAATAAGATAATGAAATAACATCAACAATAAAACATTTCTTATAGATTTACAACTGGATGCTACTTTACTTCACTTACAAACACTCCACCATCAGCCTGTGACTAATTAATATGCAATATTCTAAAGTCCAACCCCCATGCATATTACACTTCCCCCACTTAAAAAGTCAAATTCTCCTGAATTTACAGTCTTAATCAAAATCGTCTGGTTCTGCTAGTTTCTTACTTCCATCATCAATGAAATCTTTATTCTTCCTGCATTCAACCGCTTCTTTCGGAAATTCTCACACATCTGCCTGCTCGTCTGATACCATTTCATCTACTTCTTTCTCCATCTCTTCATCTCGTCTCTCTGCTACTTCTGTCTCCATCTCTCCATCTCACCTCTCTGCTACTTCTGTCTCCATCTCTTCATCTCTCTGTTACTTCTTTCTCCATCTCTTCGTCTCCACCATGAAAATCCACCATCCATCCCATGTATAAAGTTTACAGCTCCCTGTGCATAAGCTAGTACAAGATTGGAAATTCTTGTTAGAATTGGATGTAGTTGATAAAGGTAGGTTCCTATGGGAATCAGTCAGTCAATCAGTCGGGTCTTATTCTTCATTGTTTTTGTAGATTCCTCCCAGGATCAGGAAGTGACATCAATTATCCATTTATAATTTTATTCCAGTAGTAGATTGAAATCAACAAAAGTATCAGTCCGGCCCAGCCCTAGACAACTGTTTCCCATCAGTCCCGTCTAATCCTAAACAACTGATGTCCATGCACCTACAGTCCGGCCCAGCCCTAGACAACTGAGGTCCACCTGCAGTCCGGCCCAGCCCTAGACAACTGAGGTCCTAATGTGCACTAATAGTAATGGCCAGTCACTATCTACACATTCACCTAGTTTGGTGCACCACCTAGGACAACATCCATCTTAGACATGTGTCAATATAATAAAACAAAAAAAATCTGGTATCATCAAACTACTGTCCGACATCATTTAGTTTTGTGGTATGAACTTCCTGAACCAGGGTTGCAAGTTGATGCCTCGATATATCATCAACCTATCCTATAAATTAAGTCAAGTCATCTAGTTGTCCTGTTACAAGGTCCTTTTCATTTTGAAGTTAATACAGCAAACCCATCCTTTGGCAATTTATCTTTGTGATGTAGTTAAGAAGAAAGTCCTTTCTAAGGATCCTATCTTGTGAAATTTTGCAAATTACAAATTCGTGTGGCAATGCTTCTTTCCCAAAAGATACATCCAGTACAATGGTCCTGATGTTCTCTATTAAATTCCCATTTACATCCTGAATGTCAGAGGTTGCAGGCCGTATGTTAGAGCTAGTTTCCTTTGAGAGTTTAGTAAAATTTTTAACTAAATAATCCATGCAGTCGATCCACTATCCTAGAAAATATATTATTTTGTCAAATATGTTTCCTTTTGTATAAAATCCATTGTCCCGTAAGAGAGTTATATCCCCTGTGTGGCCATTCCTAGTATGTTCATTTCCAACAGAAAGACATTCCTCTTGTGCCGACTCCTGACTTAATGATATCTGTTATCTCTCATGTTTCCACTGCCATGTCTTTTATTCAGGTTAGAGGTCGGGGTCATCTGTTGTCCTCTTGTCCATCGGTCTGGGCAGTCCTTCATGAGATGATCTGGTGAATTGCAGATGAAGCAAGTCCAAGAGTTATTGCCCTTCCCAGGTTCCATTCTCTGTGCACTTTCCAGTTTCTCTAATCTATTGATTAGTGACTTGATTGTATCCTCTAAGTTATTTGATTTTTGCTCTCCAGTGGGCTGTTTGACTGCTTGTTCTTGATCCACATGTCTAACATTTATTTTCTTTTTATCCCCATCCCCCATTATTGACTCGTATCTCTCAATGACGTCTACCGCTTCTGCAACAGTGCTACACTCCTTGTCAATACAACGGCATTTCATTTCAACGGGAATAATTTTGTAAAGGTGGTTCAGGGCCAGTGATTCCTGAGCGTCAATGTCCAAGTTACTGTAAGCTTTTTGTGATAATTGCCGTATATCGTCTCCAACATCTGCAATATTTTCTCCAGGCATCCGCCTACGCATTTCCAGTTTTGAAAGCCACCTATTTTTGTGCTTTGAACTACCAAATCTCTGGTCCATACGCTGAACAAGAATTTTAAACGTGCGTCTTTCCTCAAGTGTTAGGCTCATGTAGAAAGTCCTGGCTTGTCCACGTAAGCTAGCGGCTAAGAAAAGAAGTTTAGTCCTGTCTTCCCAGTGGCTAAGTTCAGCGCAGTCTTGAAAGTGAGAAAAGTATTCCTCCCAACTTTCTTTTCCATCGTAGGGTTCGGGTTTGATCATAAGTGTAGAAATGCGATTGTGATCACTTTGTGCGTCGTCAGCTAACTGATAATCAGATCGCCGACGGAAATTATGTCCTCCTTCGTCGTCATTGTCATCACTGTCATCTCTTTCCAAAGGATTTTCATTTGCCATTAAATATTCGTCATCAGTGTTCCTCCCACAGACATCTGTTTCGTCCCTTTGGCCTAACTGAACATTTTCCTTATGTTCATTTATAAATACTTCAGGATCCGGCGAAGTAGCATCCTCCATTTTTAACTATAAAAACAGTAACAAGAACATATGTACATCGTTATTTTAAAAATAGATTTTTTTTCCTCCACCACACGACAGTCCGCAATCCACTCTATTTCAGTACTTGACAGGTATTAAAGTACGGGTTCGTATCCTAGATGTCCTCGTATATGGTAGGACATCCCACTTCTGACACCAAAAATTGTAAGCTTCCTCAGCACCCTGTCAAATGCCAATCAGCTTACAATGTTTCCATCCCGTGTAAATTCAATAAATTATAAAATTATATTTTTATCAGGACTACTCATGACATCCGTCCACATATAAAAAAAAGGGGGGGGGCATCCTCAGCCCGTCACATGTATTTAAACACCCTTGATACCAAGTTCCATTTTTCGTTTCAAATATTTCATTTAATAAAGACTTCAAAGTTCAATGAAATATAACAAAACAGTCAGTACATCTATGAGTATATAAAGTCCTAGCTTAACATCTCTGGCCTAATAAAACACAGTGGATTGCGGTGTCCGTGCGGTGGAGAAATTATACACTACTTAATTTGTATTAGTTTACATTATTTTCTTTTACCTAAGTCACTAGTAATTTACAGTCAGTGATGTTGATGATGTAATATGATCTGATCGTTACGATCGTCGTGATGAAACTGGCGTTCGCTGCTCATATATATAACCTTCCATAAATGGTCACGTGATCACAACAACCAATGAATAATTGTCCTTTCTGGAGCAACTCGGAACTACTTTACATACATTTTGTGTAATACAAAGAAAATAACATTGCTCAAAATGTCCTTTCTACATGTAAAGTGGGAGCTATAAATTCTATTCGATATACATTAGAAAACAAGTTCAACAAACAATCTGTAATAAAACGGACACACACAATCCATGGCGTAGTAATACCGAACAATAATGCAAACACATAAGTATTACGCTACACATTCAAGTTCCAAAACATTTCGTCAAATACAGCATAATTAAATGACAATACTGCAATAAAATAACATTTAAGTATCAATTATGAATATTTGAGGACACGGACAGTGTTATTTCGATCTTATCAATTGTAAAACAACAATGTTTATGTCACATGACTAATTTCTTCGTAAGAAAGATGGCAGGCGCCCAATTTACAACACATGTGATAAATGCTGAAATAAGTAAGTAAATTACAGTCGTAATATGGTAGATAATGATGAAAAACTGACATACAACATCTCAGTATCACTGTCCCTTACTGTCTGTTCAACAATATCTCGCTAGATCGTCTAGTAACACAAAAACAGCATTTGTTTACATTACAATGTCGAAGTGCAATGTGTATTGCATCAATAATTCAGGTAAACAATAAGATAATGAAATAACATCAACAATAAAACATTTCTTATAGATTTACAACTGGATGCTACTTTACTTCACTTACAAACACTCCACCATCAGCCTGTGATTAATTAATATGCAATATTCTAAAGTCCAACCCCCATGCATATTACAATATCTTAATAAAGTAAGTCACTTGAAGTGGGAAATTTGAGTCTTAAAAATATATTCGCTCAAAATAAAATTAAAACATCCAAACTACTGTTCTGTTTATATTTAAAAATCCGACCAAATTCAGGGTATTATTGTATTTCATATTTTTTTTTATCCAAGTATTCATTTTTTTAAAGAAGTTTTTTTTTCATGTTCTTCAAACAAGGCTTTACCACCGAAAATTATGTTAAGATCTTTCAATTTAATGATGCTTAAACTTGTATCAACACCTAGTAGATCTACATGTACATGTATCTAGCTGTAGAACAATAACATATACTAAATAATACTGAGTATTGTGTAGAAATAATCTTTATGGCCATTTTTAAAATTGATATTGAGGAGAATGTCACTATGATATAAGTGTAGACTTTGAGATTTCCTTCGCTTAAATACATGTTTGAAGAACTTTTCATAGTTTAAACCTTTCCGAAAGTTCCGTGAAAAAGAGCAATGATGAAATACAGAATATCCTGTAATTTTTTGTATCATTTTTATTTTAAAGTATTAAGTTTTTAGCATTACTGAAATTGGTTTAATCTTTACAGAATTGCCTAGTTAAATCCACATGATGGCTAGTTGTTTTCCCGTTATTCTGTGTTAACCTTGAATTTGCTCTACTAGTATACCGTAGATTGGCAAATAATGACGGTGGTTTTGTAATTATTTTGTAAGATTTTTTTTGCATTTTATCTTTTTATCAAAAAAAAAATTGCAAATACGACTCGGTAGGATTTTTAAGTTTTATATTAATATATGCCCTATATATCATATGTAATAATAATATCAAGAAATTAAAAGTCAGATACCTTTTTATTTTTATTTGGATTACTTATGAAAATAATGAACACAATTGTAAAAATTTTAAAACAAAAAAAAAATTAAAATTTATGGCAGTTATTAAGAATATCCATTCATTTTTCAACAAAAAAAGTGAAATAGCAAAATTTAAAAGAAAAAAAATTATTTTAAAATTTAACGAACAATCACGATTGCACTAAAACTGTTCCCGGGGAAAATCTTTACAAAATAAATAAAATGACAATTTACAGTATTTCATGGTGCATTTGCCACTGAAGGTGTCTAGTTCAATTGCTTTGTAAACCATCTTATACTCAAGCAACCATAAAAAAATATTTCGTGAAATTGTATTTCCTTTTTTTTTTCTTTCTTTTTTTTTTTTTTTTTTTTTACAAATCTGAGCTTATACATGTATCAGTCTTTTAATTCTGAATCATTAGATTAATAGACGTCTTAATGCTCCATCAAATAAAAATTTAATAAAGCATACCCCGTTAAAAGAAATGCAAAAGAACGACAACTCTCAATTCATAAAAGGTGAATGAAATGTCTATGAATAGAAATAATCAATTTAAAAAAAAAATATTAATCATTTATGCATGAATGCTAGGCAATTAAAGCATTCCTTTAAGCCCTGAATTGGCTCCCCAGATGATAATGACATTTCAAAAACCTTATTGCGCATAAATAGAACATATTTTCAAAAGATAATAGAGATTCTGTCAAAAATGTAAGAGGAGTTCTTAAAACAAGATTTGTGAGTAAAAAAAACTTTTTTCATAGAAAAACTTCGTTTCTCGACGCCCAAAGGAAATGAAGATTCTAAAAACTTATTTACCAACTTCAGGAAAATAATATTCCAAAAGATGATTTAGTTACTGTGTAAAATGTAAGAGTGATTATGGAACTAAATGTTTATAGAAGCCTGTTAATTACATGTAAGAAGTACTGTTGGTGTATTTCATTACTTAAATTAACCTTTCCGAAAGCTTATGTGAAAAAGAAAGCAATAATGAAATGATGAAATACTAAATACAGTGTATCCTGTAATTTTTTATAGCACCTTACGAGATTTTTATAAGTTTTTTTATGTGTTTCTTTATTGTTCGTTTTTTATTGTGATATTCAGTGATTGGTATTATGTTTTTAGCATTACAGAATTCGGTTTAATCTTTACAGAATTGCTTTGTTAAATCCACATATGGCTAGTTGTTTCCCTGTTACTCTGTCTTGCTACCATAGTGCATGTAACTCTGTCTTGCTACCATAGTGCATGTAACTTTGACGATGAAGAATTCCTATTTAATTTTTTTAGGAGGTATAGATCATTTTTATTTGATAGACATATGGATCTATTTTGAAAATTAGGTTTCAGCCATAAAATAATAATTTTAACTTTTAATTAAGATTTCTTACATTTTGATTTCATAAAAAAAATAAAATTGTTTTATTTGCAAAATAAGATGCATAAGAATTTAAAATGTCATATTAATAAAAGCTTTATGTGAATATCTTATAATATCTAATTAGATATGGATAACCCAAGTATGAATATTTCTCTAAACCTACGGAAGAAAAAAAGAGAAAAATATGGCAGCAATTTAGGATCATATATTAGACAATCATATTTAAAAAGAAATTCAAGTGAAATTCTGAAATCGTAGAGAAAAAATTATTTTGAAATTGAACGACAAATCAAGATTTCCATTAAACTGGTTCAGGTCAAAATCTTTCCAAAATAAATGAAAATTAAGACAATTAGCAGTCTTTTTATGACGCACTTGCCGCCGAAGATGTCTGGTTAAATTGCTTCATAAACCATCTTACACCCAAGCAACCTTAAAAAGTTTTTTTGGGGGGGAAATTGTATTTTATTTCCTTTTTTATAAATCTGAGCTTATATCAGTCTTTTAATTCTGAAGAATTAGATATCATATAGATGTCTTAATGATCTATCAAAAAATTGGTATAACATACGGTATACCCGATAAAAGAAATGAAAGAGAAAGAAAACTCCTTTTTTTCCTTTTTATTAATTTTGAGCAAACTATCAATCTTTTAATGCTGAATCATTAGATTAATGGATGACTTATTGATCCATCAAATAAAAATTTGGTATTAAAAGCATACCCGAAATGCAAAAGAAAGACAACTCTCATTGAATAAAAGATGAGTGCATTGACTTGAAATAAAAAAAATAATCAATGTGTGCATGAATCCTAGTCATTTAAAGAATTCCTTTTAAAAAGAAGATGAAAATTCGATTATTCTTTCAAAATGCAAACAATTAATGAAAATATCGATGCTGAAATCCTTCAAGTTAGAATCTATATGCTGTCTTAAGACATTAATACCAGACATTGAGTCTTGGCTTCTCAAAACTTAAGGAGCTTAACGAGGCAAATCAATAGATATTCCATATTTTGAGATAATTTCATATCATACACATGTATAAAATTGATATAAAATCTTCAGTTGAGTTTGAAACAAAGTTGAAAATTCCTTTTTATGCTGTCTTTTTGGGTTACAAGACAGTTTGGTCAAAATGACTTGTGCATACAGTTATGTGCTGTGGAAAGAGTTTTTTCAAGTTAGTTGTATTTTGAGATGAATAAATACCCAGTTCAGACCGGAAAATATATCAAGAAACAGCGTTTCTATGTGCAGTAAATATACCTTTTTTCAATGTGTGAAAATGTAAGTCTCTAGCTGTTCATCCCAATATTTTCAGACTTATATATCTGCAGTTAGAGTCATTGACAGTTGATAAAAATACTTTAACGATACTCTCCTTACAACAAAATCTTTTCGTCTCTTTTACAAGTGGATTCTTCGACTTGCGATGCCTTTAAATAACGGAAATGCTTTTAAAGTTATGAAATAAATAGGATTTTAGACTTCAACTTTTTGAATTATAAATGCTTATAGTTTGTTTTCTTTTACACACCGTAACTAATAAAAATATCTGAATGCAGGCATAGCTAATGATGTTTCAAGCCAAACATTATATTTTGAACACATATGGCATTCAATTCAAATCCCATTTACTGAAGAAATTAAAATTAAATTGCATTTATGTTTCTTTTGTAAAAAGTAAGGTGATTTTTTCATTAATATTTTTAATGTAATAAGTATATGTTATTTTGTCGAATCGATACTGCAGTTTAAATCTAAATATACATTCCTGTCTTTCAAGTTCATTAAACTGAATGAATTACGACACATTGACTTCCGTTAAATGGTCCATTATAGACACTAGTGATTTTAAAGACCCATTGTAATATATTCAAAATTTAAATTAAAAAATATGTGCAATGGAAGAACAAGATCCTCGATAGACTTCATGGGGGTTTGATTTGGACAGATGTCTCTCTATGTGTGTATCTGAGGAGCTCTCATGTAGTGTTACACTTGACAACCTCATCTAAACATAAACCAAATCAGTAGATACATTTAATGAGATTCCCACACAAAAGAGGATCAATTAATTAATGAAATGATTTCTCTATCAGCTCCTAGTGGTTGTGATCTATAATCCGCGAGGTGAGTATTGAATCTGATATTGACATTTTTACGAGATACGCCAGATTAGTTTACAGTGAAGCAGGTAATTGTTTATTTTTGCTTTTGATATATATGGTGGATTTTTTTTTTTTGCAGACATGGCGTTTCCTAAGCTTAGGGAGTTTATGGGGGAGGTTAAGAAATTCCTGGACACAGGAGTAAAACCTTTCCAAATGTCGTCCATCCTCCCACGCGGGGCTAAGAGGGAGCTAGACAGCGCAGTGCCAATGCTTTCAGGCTTCAGACCCTCCAAGGTAAAGATGATAGTGAGGTTTAATATCTGGGGATTTACATTAATGAAATATTGAATAATCCATTTGATAGATTGCTTATATCAAAGCTACATTTCAAACAATTATTCATGAGTAAAGCATTACCTGTATGCAGTTCAAAAAGGAATTAAATTGGTAGGTTTCGAATTGAATTCGGGATTCATATTGCAGGTATGAAAAACAATACAACGTCATGTTATTTTGATTTAATGCATGCATGACCCTGTTATACCTGTTTTAATGGTTTTCCTTCTCTTTATTTGATTTTATCTTTTGTTTCAGGTGTACTACATGTTTGCTGTTCTGAGTTTCGCTGATCTTGGGAGTTGGGATGAAGTGAAAACACATGGTCCTAAGGCTCTTGAGGAGTTTCGTGACTTCATGGAGGAACTACCTACAGACGAACGGGTATGTTACATGTGCCAAAAAATAGACAAAAAATATGCGACAAAATTAGTATTCGAATTTCTTTCGTTGATGATTGAGAATTATTTTTAGAATACAGCACCCGTCTCGCTACCACCAAAAGAAACAATCATTACCCAGGACTATCCACAGAAGAGTTCAGCTAGATTTCGTACCTCAAATGAAAACATGCAATACTACTCACCTAGACGTCCCGAACAAAATACTCGAGCACCCTCTATACCGTCTCAGAGACGGTCACACGATGGTTGTGGTAGCAATGGGAGCCATCATGTTTCCTCAAGACCTTCCCCATCGAACCCCTCTCAGAGAATGTCATACGAGAACAGCAAACAGGGATCTTATGGACAAATCCAAGAAAATGGCCAGGATAACGACGGACTGAAGAATGACATTGCGAACTCTATCAGTAAACTCAGGCAAGAAATAGGCAGTCTGAAAGATAGGTATGCATCATTATATTAATAATTAATTATAAGACTTTATTTATATGATTATTATTTGAAAAATTTAAAATTATCTCAAAAGAAAAATATGTATCAGAGACTATTACAACTTTGCATTCTGTTTAATATTATGTTTGTTTATAAAAGTACCAGAATATCCATGCACATATGACTGAAAAATTTTCTTTTTGATTAATTTTAGAAAATGGTTTGTTTTTAAGACTTTCAGAAGAACTCAGTCAGCCAGACGTCGTTAATACCCCGACAGCAAATATCCCTCCACTGAACACAAAATCCCCTCGAAGCTCGCGAACTGATGACGTCACAGACAAGTTAGCGGAAGCTTTTTCTGGTCTTCTTCACGACCAGTGGCTGGGCGCTCTGAAAGAAAGAAATAATGGCCAAGGTCATTCGGAAAAGAACTTAATTTATTTGGCAGATATCACTAAGGTCCATTAAAATTTCACAACATTTGTACTTTTCATTTTTAGACTTTTACAGTTATCAAAAATGATATTATAATGATTTTTATTTCAGAAATGTCAACATTATTTGGATGATGTTTGTGAAAGAGAATTCACTCATCTATGTGAAATTATACTCAAACCCATGGGTGAAAAGGATTCACAGTATGTGAGTAGTCAAAAATGAATGCTTGTAAAATTACTACAGTAGTTTAGTTATTGCAATGCACAATGATCGAAATACATCTAAAATATGTATAACTTCATACGCAATTAAATTTTATAATCAAAATACTTGTTCCATTTATGTTCTCTTTTTCATGGTGTCAAATAATCGAAATTTTGGTGATAGGTCCATATATCAGAGGATTTAAGAGCCCTGGCTAGAACTAGATGTAGACAGATACAAAGAGACACGATGCCAATTTCACTTCCTGTCATCAAAGAGGTAAAACAATTCAATATAATGATTAATAATCAATAATATGGATATTTTATTACATATATTTATTGTATTTTTGTGCCCCCGTAATCAAAGATTTGGAGGTATAATAGTTTTTGACATGTCCATCTGTCTACCTTGCTGTTTTTTTTTTTTTTTTTTTGGAAAAAACTTTAACCTTGCCCATAACTTTTGATTGGTTGGAGCTGTGGCATTTATGTATGAGATATCCAGTCCTTGTGACAAGACCTTTCTTTTGGGTATCAACATGTTTGGCCTCCTGACCTTAGAGCATGACCCACTTTTGAAAAAAAGTTTGACCTACTTTGGAAAAAAAAATTCACCGCGGCATATACATGTACTGGTACTTTTGAAAAGTTTTTGGAGTTTTTAATGTTCTAGTGACAAGATCTTCCTGGGTACTTCTAGTACTAATTTTGATCCTTTGACCTTGACTTTTTAATTTGACAACATTTTTTTTTTAAAATCAACTCTGGGTATATTTTTTGAACGGTTGGTGCTTAGGCTTCTGCATTCCATATGTATATTCATTGAGACAATTTTTTTCTTTAGGTAACGACATATATCACCTCTTGATCTTGTAGGTTGACTTGCATTTGAGAAACTTCAATCTTTGCCATAAACTGCCATATTGGGATAACAGTGTTTCACAAACACTTGTTATTTTACATGAAATATGTAACTATGATATCTTTTTTTGTAGGGGTGTAGTCAGTTAATTTTAAAATATAATTATTACATCATTTATTTAGGTTGTGATTCGAGATAAAATCTCCGAGGCACAGAAAAACCCAGCATTAAAGAGATTCGTGGATAGGTGTGTAGAACTGTTGTGGATGTTCGCAATTCATGATCCGCCCCTAGAGTTAGAATGGGCCCGGGCGGGAGATACGATGGGCAGTCATCTTCAGTCTTACTCTGACACGGGGAATAGGGTGGGTTTTAATGTATGGCCGACATTACGGCAGTTTAGAAATGGACCTGTATTGTGTAAAGGCGTTGTTCAAATGGTGTATTAATGATTTGTTTTCTCTTATACTCTCTTACTTTAATTCATGTTATAGTTTTATAATTTAATAAAATATTAGATTCTGCATGACTTTTATTGTTAAAACTTTTAAAGTGTAACTTAAAATGATCTGTCTTACATACATGTATAAAACCACATACATACATCAAGGGTTTGGGCATGCTTCATGCTTTTCTTTTCTCATTTAGGGGGAGGGTTTCATAGCATTCTTATTTGCAAGATACAATGAATATGGACTGACTTCACTTGAGTGCAACTTGTTCAAAATCATTTCAACAGATTTGACAGATTTCCTTACTGTGTGCGAACATACATCAAGTGTTTTAGCATGCTGTGTTCTGAGATGATACGGGAAAGAAATGAAACGTCTCCATGCAGTAATTTCAATGAACATAATTTTAATTTTGAATTGCATATTTAAGCACTTGTATAACTTAATTCTGATTCATCTCAGTGCAAAAGTTGAACCATCTCATACTTGCTATGTTACCCTTTTTTTTAACCATTTATACTGGTAACCATATCAAAAACCTTATCAAGCTGTCTATGTGTCACAAGCAAAATGACAATAAAACTCGTTTAAAAGTTTTATTTGAAAACAAATATTTGTAGACCGAACAAAAATTTCTTTAAAAATTTCCATGAGGATGAATGTCTTTAATGATGTCTTTCACGAGGATGAACTTCAATGTGCACTATCTGCAAAATTTAAATAATGAAACAATCAATGTAGGCATATGCATGCAAAACTCTTGAATACAGGGTGTATTACTGTATAGTTTTCAGTGATGAAATTTTGAATTATATAAACCTACTCTTATGTACCTTCTTTATGAACTGTAGAAAGTTATTTGCATGTTTTGCAGGTACATCTTGAAGCGCACTTGCATTCTGGTCCGCATTTGCATTCACTTTCTGTGCATCCGCATGTTACGTTGCATGTTGTGCACGTGCATTCAGTTGTGCTGCACTGGCAGGTTGCTCCGCATTCGCATGTTCCGTTAGCACAATTGCACTTCATTCTGTGAATAATAAAAGGAAGATGAAAGAATTGCCTTTACCCCCAATTTAATCAAAGAATACTTTTTTTATTTTAACTGTTCAATTCTTTTTCTATTAAGCAAACATAAGACCTTTTACTTTTGTAAAACAAAGGAAAATTATGCCATGTTTCTTATCAACTTTAAAACCTTTGTTATTCTTCAATTATTAAGGATATATAACACAAACTAAAATTTGAGGCATGGATTGTTATACATTTTCGACTGGTCTTAAATGGAAATGACACAAGTAATCAATCCCTGAACTATAAATAAATCTTAAGTTTTCTTTGATGCTTAAACATGCGACTTTGTATCATTTTCTATGTAATTCTACTCAAATAATTTGCGCATGATTATGACATTGTGACAAAATCTTACAAAAATTCTCCAGCTTTAGTCTGCTTTACCCATAAAATATCATTTAGATTATCTATTTGAAAATTAATCTATGAGAAATATTGCGATCCCTCCCCCTCCAAATGTTTTTTTATTTGTTATTTATCCTCAAATACTATTTATATAATAATAATTTTATCAAGTTAAAAACATAACCTTAGTCTGTTATACGCTAAAGCTTATTGAAATGTAATCATAATAACTATATGATTAAATTAAAAAAGATAGGATAAAAACAATTCCTACTTACTTTCTGATATAAAGAATGTCTTCCAAGATCCAAGTTACCGGGATTTTCAAAGTTTGAATTGGACAACCGAGATTGGTGCATATTATACTAAAGATGTTTAGATGTCGTGTGCAAAAGAGATGAAGAGACGTTCGCAAAATTCTGAAGACAATATCCTTAGGTAATAGGTTGACGAGATATTGTATAACAGGACGTGTTGACAGCTGTCGCGGGACAAACAATTAACTCTCCCATTATATAGATATATATCTACAATGTTTTCGTAATATATTAATTACAATTAAGAGGGCATCAATTTATCAGCAACGGGTTTATCAGCGCAGTGCTTCTCAAGTTTGTTAAGTTTAATTAAGGGATAGTAACACAAACGAAAATTTGATGAATGGATTGATATATATTTTATACATGTAACCAATTAAAATAGAGTGTATTGCTGATTTCTGGGAAAAGAAAGTTTGTTTATTTAGCGTTAAACGCATTTAATCTATATCATTCATAAAAAATCGATGAGAAAGATATCTCATTTCATTAAAAGAAATCATGTTTGTAGTATATCAAACTAGATTTGAGAAAATGTTTAAAAATCAGTAAATTACTACTTAAATACTCGACGAATGTAAAAACTCCTCAAACATTATAAAGATATGCAGGAAGTATATGATTACATTATTTTGGAGAAAAGGCAAAAAATAAGAATGGATTGCAAGGAGAAAAATGATGACAAAAATGTCCCATAGCAATGGTAAAACCTGCGCCAACTCTATTTTAAGAAAAAAAATCAGAATTCTCAAAATTATTTCTATTTATTAAAATATGCTTAGTTCAATGAATGCATGAAGACTAATTTGTGTAAAGCAATTTTTGATCAAAATACAAAAATGTGCTTGAGAACAGAACAGTCCACGCCACCGTCTTCCCGGGCTTTTCTATTATTTTTTGTTTAAACATACAGATATACTACTACATATAAGCGTTGTATACTAGTAATGGAGATCTTATTTCGCGTATAGAACAAAAAGAACACTATTTTCCTCAACAATTCAAATATCTTTGCCAAAACATGTGCCTCTCTAATTAATTTTGTGAACAGTTTATTTGTGAAAGTGAAATAATACTTTTTTCACTGTAAAATATCTTGGACAATTCTTCCGTTTGGAAGATAGGAAATTAGAGTACTGTACTACACTAATCTATAAAAGCATCATTCTGGAAAACCCTTGTAAACACATTTTGTCTTCTCGAGTTACATTTTAGTACTGTAAGTTATTTTTCTGTACATATGAAACCTCACGTCTCCAAGTACCTGAATTCTTGGTCCTTTAATTCTAATGCCAAAGAGACAACATTTTTTCTCATAATCATAATTGTAAAGAATAATTAAATTTTGGATAAAATTTAAAATTCATTTATCAGTACTAGATATGTTACATGTAGGATATTTTCTTCATCTTGGAAAGTTAATGTTCTGAATGTGTGAACTTAAATGATTTTTTAGTACGTTCATAACGCTTATTCGCCGAGAGTTTCAAAATTATTATTATTTCAAACATACTCTGGGGACAGAAAATACATGACCAACGCTGACCTTTGAAAGACAATTACAGTACATGTATGTTACAGGACAAGACCATTAATTTGTTGTTTTGTTGTTTTTCCCTGCAGGACTAGGATCATACAATTAAGCCAGTACATTGAAGATCATCTTGTTTCGAAAACAAGTCCACTGAAAATATTTTTTAAAAACTGAATTATATTAGTAAGTTGTTTCAGTTTTATTAAATATCTCTCTCTGTGTCTGTCTGTCTCTCTCTCTCTCTCTCTCTCTCTCTCTCTCTCGCTTGATGCAGAGAAGCTTTAATCGCAGAACAATAATTAAATGAAAGAATGTAAAGATATATTATAAACATCTCTCTCTATCTGTATCTCTCAAAGCATTATTATATCCATAACTTTCAATTTATATGTATAAGGCAAGACTTAATCTTAAAAATACTTTTCAGGCCAAAAATTTCAAAATTCAATGCTATGGCAGTTTTTGAACGTTTTTTTATGTCAGTTTATCAACAAAAAAATGGCATCAACTGATTCTTGCTGTTTTGTTTTCTTCTGTTACAGAAATGATATGTTTTCAACTTTATATAATGTTAATTCAAAAATTGTATCAATTTCTTTCATAAAATACTGTAAGTAAGTAAGTAAATTGTTAATTATAGTGACGTAAGTTATACAATACAATGAAAAACATTTAATACGATTAATATCAAATCACCCGGCCTATCGGACCTATATGTCACTTTTAACAAAAATAAATGAAAAAAATATACACAAATATTACGCAAAGCGTTTTTTCTACAACAGAGATTCCCTGTGCATGTATGAAAGGTACAAATATTTAGAGGTCTGTCTAGGAAAATTTGTTAAAAGAAAAATTACACTATCTAGATCAGACATAGAAAAAGTTGGGTTGCATTTAATACTAGTAAATAAATCTGTAATTCGAGTATTCTGTTCAATGTAACAAAAAGTGGCACTCGTCTTCTACTTCATCTTTAAAACAAAAATTACATAACCTACCGGTATCTTCTAATGATTCTCCTTTATATCTTCCAATTTCAACTCTAATTGGTAAAATTTCACATCTAAATTGGCAAGAATAGATCTTTGAAATTTTGGAATATTCATTTCTAGGTAGTTTTCAGTATTAAAATGTGTTTTGAAATCTTTATACATACGTAATTTAGGTAGTTGTTTTATCTTTACTAGCCATTCAGTCTCATAATTTGAAAGTAATCTTCGTTCAAATTCATGTATGTCAAACAGGAATAACCTATGATAAACATGTTCAGAATTCACCGATTCAAATAGAAATTTAATTTGCCAAGTCCAGCTATATTTATTACATTGATTTAATTCCCACAAGAAAACAAGTTTTGTTATGCGGTTGTCCTCCATTGTCAGCAAACGATTCCAGTATCGTAGAATGTTAATGCAGTGTCTATGGAGTGTCTATGGAAAGGCTGTATTAACATGAAATGCATCGTATATTTTTATTGGCAGTATGAGAAATGGAAAAACTCTATTTTCTTTTTCACCTTCTAAAAAGAGAACTACGTGTTATTATTTCTAATTTCAACAAGTCAATAATATTTATCAATATTTTTGTCATTTTGTCTGTTTGTCTGTTGGAGGAGATGGGACACATTTCACTGAAGAGAGTTGTGCATATACTAGCCTTTCAATATTATCTACATACACACACTGTATACTCAGTATGTAGTCTAACCTTAGATTAAGGATCTTCTATCTAGCATAATACAACATTAAAAAAATCCAGCAGTTCCTATTTCTTACTTATACCACAAAAGTGACAAAGATTCAACA